TTTCCCCCTCTCTGGACGATCGGCTCCTTAAGGGTCACTCCTTCCTCAAGGTCCAGTCAGCAACCAACCAGGCCTTGTTTCATTCCCTGGACCTTCCTCTGAACATGGACATGTCCTACCCTAACACTGGTACAGCTCATAGACTTTATCAGAGTCACTCTGGACTCCTCAATTGTCAGGGCTACCTACTTGCAGACAGATTCACCACAGTCTCATCTCCACACTGCAGCAGAGCCCACAATCTAAAGCATACCTCCGAGAGTTCTCGACTCTCTCAGTTGGTGGAAGGACCCTCTCAAGGTCTGTGTGAAAGTTCTGTTTTTGCATTCGCCCCCTTCAAGGGTGATCACTGTAGGTGCATCCCTGCTGGCTAGGGTGGAGGCCAATCTCCAGGGCAAATGGTCTCCCCCAGGAACATCCCTCCACATCAACATTCTTGAACTCAGGGCAGTTTGCCTCACATGCCAGTAATTCCTTCACAACATCATGGGCCTCTCAGTCAAGATAATGTTGGACAACAGAGCGGTAATGTACTAGATACATGGTCAAGGGGAAGCAAGATCTCAGTCCTTATGTACAGAATCACTAAAACTGTGGAGCTGGTACATATCCCATCTCATACACATTTCTGCAGTCTACTTGCCAGGCCTGCAAAACACTGCAGCGGATTCCCTGAGCAGGCACTTCCACCAGGACCATAAGTGGGAACTCAGTCTTTCAGAATATTTACCAGACCTGGGGCCTTCTGTAAGTGGATCTCTTTGCAACACCATCCGATGCAAAGTGCCAACACCTGTCCTTGAGGAAGGGGTATGCTTGCTACTCCATAGGGGATGCTCTCCTAGTGCTTTCCTAGTCCCATTGTGGCTGAGGCAAGTGGTGTGGTTCCTGGATCTGCTTCGCCTCTCCCTACTAACTCCTATAGGCCTTCCTCTCACAGTGGCTCTCCTGACACTGGGCATAACCCATCCCAATCTTTCATCTCTGCATGTCAAGGCCTGGCTCTTTGATGGTTCCTGGACAAAGAATTGGGCAGTTCTCCTGAAGTTCAGTCTGTACTCTTGAACAGCAGGAAACCTGCCATGAGAAAACTGCAGAAGTGGAGGTATTTCCACATCTGGTGTACTCATTGATCTGTATCTGCCTCTGAATTTCTCCTCATGGATGTTGTTGATTAACTGTTAGATTTAAAAACACAAGTTTGTCACTGAGCTCCGTTAGGGTTCACTGGGCAGCAATTACAGCCTTTCTTCCACCAGTGGAAGGATTTATGGGCTTTGCTTACAACAAACCCTTGAGAAACATGACTATGGTAGGGTATCTGTTTCCTCATGTCAAGGGCTCCATGCCACGCTAGGATCTTCATCTGGTTCTTAGTGTTTTTAAAGAACCCTCTGTTTGAACCCATGGGTACTCTTTACTTCTCCACCTGGCCTTCAAGACTTTATTCCAATTAGCCATAACCTCAGCCAGAAAGGTAGGAGAGCTAGGGGCGCTCATGGCAAACCCTCTTTATACTACCTTTTACTGTGATAAGGTGATCGTAGGCCCTCATCCTTGTTTCCTGCCTCAGATCTCTTCAGAACTCCATATCAATCAGTATATTAGTCTACCAATATTTTACCCCCACACTTCATTCCTCGAGGGATGTCCTCCATTCTCTGGAGGTGAGAAGGCCCTTGTCTTCCACCTCAACAGAGTAAGACCTTTCAGGGTTTCCAATAGGCTTTTTATCGCCTTTGTCAAGAGAATGAAGGAGCAGCCAGTTTCCATTCAGACTACTGAAGTGGGTTTCTGGGTACACTCTAGCTTGTTGCAAAGCTGCTGGAGTGCATCCCCCACCTTGAATGACTGCCCATTCCACCAGGGCCTGTTCCACCTCTTTAGCCCTTCTTAAGTTCATACTCACATTGTGGACATCTGCAGCAGCAACCTGGTCCTACAACCACACGTTTGCCAGGCACTGTGATATATCTTAGTTGCTTCCAGATATGGCCTTTTGTCATGCTGTCCTCAGAACTGTGCTGGATCTGCCTCCTCAGCTCCTGCCTCTATGTTGCATTACTGCTTGGGAGTGGAGCACCCTGAGGGACAATAACTTGAAAAGGAGAAGTTACTTACCTGTATAGTAACTTGAGTACTTTGAGATGTATTGTCCCTATGGGTGCTTCGCCTCCCACCTTCTTTTCACTCTGCTGCAGAGTCTTCTGGGCTACATAGTTGAGAAGGAACTGGAGCGGCTGCAGGTCTACATCTCCCTGTATACCCTCACACTGGAGCACAAGGATGTATGGTGCATAGGCACAGACCCCGTGGGCACTGCTGACTAAAATCTTTGATCAAGAGTGCATAGGCATGTGCACATCATGCAGTGGAGCACCCATAAAAACAAAACAGCTCAAAGAACTCATTATTGTGCTGGTAAATAACGTCTCTTTCCTTAGTGCATGTTAATGTAGTACTGTTTGAAATGGGACTACATTAATGCGCACTAGCAGGGTCCACATAGGCCAGTTAGTGCGCAACATGCTCATGTGCATTAGAATTTACGCCCCTCTGATACAAACTAACGTAGCATGTAGTCAGGCCCTTACTGCATTGGAGGCTAGTGCAGCACAGACTCATACCCCAGTTTGCTGTGAACTAAACATGGGTAGACAAGTCTGAGTCTGTCAGAGTCTCCGGGTCAGCAACAGTTCAGTAACACTGCTTAGAGTTTATGCCTTACATATCCATGAACATACTAGCTTAGTGGCCTTAGTAGACTCTTTAGTTTTATTGGAGATGTGCAACAAAATGCATTGGAGTAGGGTTACAAGAACCCAGGGCATGTTTTCAAGTGCTCAACCAAGTGCTAAGGAGAGAACCTGCTTCTATGTTTGAGCATTTCTTTAGTTTTTATCCCCACAGGGCCTTAGAGTGCCTTGTGCATTGTCTCCTTCTTGCTTTTGAACTTTACTGTGCTCTGAGTGTTTGCCTGAAATGCTAGCTTTTTCTTTGCAGACTCAGCTCATACAGATGGTGATATGGATGCTCCAGCATCGCCTTCTCATCCAGCTCCACACATATGTCTGTTTGATGGTGCCCCCGAATGAGGAAGATTTCCGAGCTCAAGATGAAGACATGCCCTTCACTGCCAGAGTTGGAGGCAGAAGTCTAAGCACTCCCAATGCTCTCAGCTTCGGCTCCCCAAGTATGAATACACTTTCTACTGTAAACAAGTCTGTATTGGCTTTTAGAGATTAACATAGGCCATATCTAGAGTAGGAGAATAGGTAGTGTTATATAATGTGATAGTCAATGTGCCTTAGCTAACATGATTTTAAACAGACTTTGCAGTAAGTCTAGGTAGGGCAAGTCATATTTAACAGTGTGTTAGCTGATCAAGGTCAGCCCTGGGCTGGAGAACCAGGAATTGGTGAACATCTTGGTGGCCATTAAAGCTCTCTTATCAAATGCCTGCAGGCCATTCTAGTCACCCAGTTCTTGATCACCCTCTTCCTATCTGCTTAGTGCTGACTGTCTCTTCCCATTCATTCTGTCAAGAAGTCCTTTTATGCATCCTTCCCAAGTGACCCAGGTGTTCTTCCAGATAGACAGCTGATATATCCATGGACGTCCATAATCGGAAACAGAATAGGGGGAGTTTTAAACAAAATGCTTGCGAGAAAACTTGTTCCAAACAGCAGTGGAATCGTTGGGTTATAGGCGATGTCTTTAAGGAAAAACACACGGATACTGTGGCTGACAAATGTTTACAATTGCCAACTCCCTCTCTTCTCACTTGACTCCCCCAGCTCCTCCTACTGCCATGGTTTGAGGTTAGCTCTGGGAAAGTATTCTAACCAAAGGCAAAATGTTGTGCTGAAGTCCCAAATTGCTCAAAAACCTTGTCAAGGAAACTGAAGTGTGTGTCTTCAGCTGCCTGTGTCCTGCGGTATTCCCAGAAGCATGGTTGTTAATTATGGGGCATTCTGCAGGACATTATTTCTCTGTGTTATAGCTTTCTCTGGATTGGGATAATGGATCTTATCAAAAAGGACTTCCCTGAAGTGTTGGAGTTAAATAGGTATTAAACTTAACCCAAAGCAGAGATTTAAACAGTCTGAATAAATATAGTTTCTTAGGTTTCACTTGCATGGCTTGTTTATTGCCATAATCCTGGTTCTCCAGTTGTCAATAGTCATCTGGGAAAAACAAAAGGCGACAAGTGAATTTTTAGTGTGGGAGTAGGAGGGAGTTTTGAGGCCTTCTTTGCCCCTTTTTTCCCCTTTATAATGATTGATAAACTCACAATTTTTCTTTTTTGTTTGCTAGGCATCTTTGACAGTCGTATATAATTGTTGTATTTATAACTCCTCCCAGCAGGTAGTTCTGTGATTACAGCATAGCTTCCTTGGCCTTCTCTTTTGCCCATACCTACCCTCCCAACTGCTCTACTTTTTCTCATTGTCGCTTCATGTTGTTTAAACTAGAGCTGTCTGGGAGTTTTCTGGCCAAGTTTTTCAGGGAACGTGTGGTTTCTCCAGAATTGAAATTTTCTACAGGAGAAATGTTGATTTTGTTGAAATGTTTCTATTTTCCACCAGGGAAAATCAAAACAAAATGTTTCCGCTCTGTTTAACATTAATCTCTGTGTCTGCCTAAGCCATCACAGTGCCCCATGGGAGTAGTTCACGTACCTCATGTCCCCAAATCTCCTTATGGACTGGTCTCTCTGCATCATGATCATGGGAGGCTTAGTCTGGGACTTGGAAGCCTGGCCCATAGGGGAAAATGGGGGCATGAGGCACTAGCTCTGGGGTTTTCCCAATGGTAAAGAAGGAATGCAGTTCCCATTCGTAACTTCCCAATGCCAGTGCCAGCACTGTTTATTATTTGTAGTCTTGTGTATTTATTTCCCACTCCTCCACATGTTGCTGTTTCATCTTGTTTGCTATACATCACCAGTTTATAAAGCTCATTAGATATGTTGTTTCTACCTCTGTATTTAATCACGCTCATAGTCTATCAGATCATAAGAATGGCTCTACTGGGTCAGACCAATGGTCCATCTAGCCTAGTATCGTGTCTTCTGACAGTGGGGCATGCCAGGTGCTTCAGAGGAATGAACAGAACAGGGCAATTATAGATTGATCCATCCGCTGTCATCTGGTCCCAGCTTTTGTCAGTCAGAGGTGTAGGGATACCCACAGCTTGGGGTTGCGTCCTTGACCCTCTTGGCTAATAGCTATTCCTCCATGAATTTATCTCTCTTTTTAAACATAGTTACACTTTTGGTCTTCACAACATTCCCAGGCAACAAGTTCCATAGATTGACTGTATGTTGTGTAAAGTATTTCCTTATGTTTGTTTTAAATGTGCTTCCTGTTAATTTTATCGGGTGACCCTTGGTTCTTGCGTTGTGTGAAGGAGTAAATAACACTTCGCTATTCACTTTCTCTGCACCATTCATGAGTTTGTAGACTTCTCTCATATCCCCCTTTAGATCATACTGTTATTCCCGGAAACTGAAACTTACCTCCTAGACAGCATGCCTTGGATGCATTTGCAAGGAGTCCACCATCTGGCCAGGAAATGTGCAGATAGCTGTGCAGTCCCCATTTTCAAGAAAATCCTGATGTCCCAATAATATTTTGTATGTTGCCCCAGATTACCCATCACTTGTCTGCAAACTCAACAAATTGGCCAAGAGAACCAAATTTCCTGTCCTCATCTAATTGTTTGCAGGCAGTTCCCATGTCATGTTTCCAAGCCCCCTTTCTTTGCTATACTAAGCTGATTAGTTTGCTTGGATGGAGGGGCAGAAAGAGCCTGCTAGTTTGCACTCTTCACAGCATCATATTATTTCCGAATTTACAGCCAGTAGTGATGATATGACTCTCACAAGCCCTAGTATGGATAATTCCAGTGCTGAGCTGATACCTGGTGGTGACTCGCCATTGAATAAACGGATGACTGAGAACCTGCTAGCGAGCTTGTCTGAACACGAGCGGGAAGCTATCCTCAATGTCCCTGCTGCACAGAATCCAGAGGATCTACGCATGTTTGCAAGGTAGGGAGAATGTAACCTCCTTTCTCATTTCCCCCTTTGCAATTCATCTCTGCATTAGCACTTTAGGGAGGGCGGGGTCAGGGTGCATCTTGGAAGATTAAATTTCTGGCTTTTATTCCCACGGTGACATCTTCACCAGTGCTTGTTGGTGTCTGACACTAGCTATTGGCCGGGTTTTTAATTAGTTCCCCAAGAATATTTTGTTAATAAGCTCTGGATGTATGTAAAGGCTCTGAGGCCCTCTGATGGGCAGTGCAGTCTCAGGTCTGACTGCCCACCAGTTGTGTCTTGTTGTGTGGTTCTGAGAATGTCTCACTCTTGAGAACACAAAATAGAATTTGCATAGCCTGAAAACAAGCTAAAGAGAGCCTCAAAGCTGAAGCCCTGGTGTGTGCATGCGCATGCTGTAGTTACAGGCCTGTTAGCATGTCCAGAGATCTGTAAGTAATGGTTTTTAAAAGCATTTGAAAATACAGTGGCATCACAGGAATTTAGCGTTCACTGGGTTTCATACTTGTGGAGAAAAGAATGGCCCAGGGGAAGTGTTACAGCTCCTCTTATATATTCTAGATCACCCAGTCACCCCCCAACTAGATCTTCCCTGGCATGTCTAGCTAGGAGAGTAGTACTCAAGTATCCCAAAGAGACCACTGTGGGAATAAAATAGTTGCTTTCTGTGCTGTAGAGTTCTCTGCAACTGGACCATTGCAGATCATGGATGTTTTGTAGGGAATTCCTGAATCCTGCAGATGTAGTTACTGTCCTGCAGTAAAGTATGCCTCTGCCGCTCCTTTTGTGTGTAACCCTTCTGCCCATCTAAGTTGGCAGCAACAAGGGCCAGGTTCTGTATCTAGGGGTTCCGTTTCAATAACGCAATGCAAAACTGGCTCGAGCCCCCACCCAGTGACCTGGGACAATTACATACCACCCCCTGGGTGCCTCGAAGAGGCAATACTTCCCCTCTCGCAAGCACGGAGTTTGAGTGTAGCAGAAAATGTTTAATAACATGAGGTAAACGACATCGCCAGTAAATTGGAAAAACACCGCAAACAGGGTTCATATCGCAATCCATGAGCAAAAAAACCCACCCCAGCAAATTGGGCTGTGTCCTTTCCCTTCGGGGTTCTTGAGTCCAGCAACCCAAAAATCACCCGGAGTCTCCAAAGTCTCTTGGGTCCAGCAATCACCCAAAGTCCCAAAAGTCCAACAAACCCCCAAGTCTCAGTCCCTTGTCAGTGCAGCCCCAGAGCAAAGCGGGGGGGGGGCACGCAGGGTGTTAAAGGGCACCTTACGTGATCCGAGGCCGGCCGGCCATCTCTCCGTGGGGTTCCGCCACAGCCTTCACCACGAGCCAGTCCACTTCCTGCCGTCCCACGAACTGCTCCGCTCTATAAGCTGCTCTGCTCACCAACCTGTGAGCAGCTCCAGCCGTCCCCGCAAACAGCTCCACTCGCCGTTCCTTGGGCCGCTCCAGCCAGCCCGGCAAGGCTCCGCACCGCTCACTGCTCCTCCAGTTGTCCCCACAAATTGCTCCACCAGCTGCTTAGCAATATAGCTTCAGGCTCCCCCACTAGTCAACACAGCACTCAGTGATCTCAGCTCTTAATAACTTTAGCTCTTTTGTGATTTCAGCTCTTAGTGATTTCAGCTCATAGTAGGGGAGCCCATGTGCTGGTGCACCATTGGCCCAAAGTGAATTCAGCTCAGCAGCCTGTAACTAGACTCCTAATAGAATCAAAGTTAGCTCTGACATTCAACAGTGGAGAGAGGAGGTGGTGCAATTGGTGTATCAAGCCCTCAGAGGGGGCCCATACCATCAGATGCAAATACCTGTCCCCACCCTCTCTCCATTCACTGGGTTTTGTAACCCATGTCCCTTGTCAAGCAAGTGCTACTTAGGTAGTGGTGAAGGACTCACTCAATCCTTCTGTCATACAACAGTTCCACTGGCCTTGATTCACAGAATCAGGGTAACAAAACTTTATTCTTCCTGCCCCAATAACAGAGAAACTGGGGATCCCACACCAGCCAAAGTAACCACTTTCAGTTGCTGTTGTTTCATGCCAGGCGAGTGGGTGTGCCTATGCAAACAAGATCACCCCCTGGAGTTCTTTTCCACACTCGCCATAATTCACCACCAGATGTCAGGGTAGAGCTCATCCTGACTCTGCTTACATGTGTAACTGGGAGATGGCAGCATCCCACTGATTTAGAGGATGTGGATTCTCTGAGATGTCCACTCAGATGGAAATATCGTGACCATTTGAGAACTCTGTCCCCATCCGTGGCTAGGTGTCCGCAAAACCTACGACAAAAAAAAAAAATCTAGTGTCTTCTGATAGAATACTTTTTTGAAAATTCTGTGAAATTGGGTCTAGACTATTATTGTTCTGCTCTGATTAAATAAAGCTCCTTAACCTATCATCGTTCTTATAATGAAACCCCTTATCTTTCTGGTTGTCCATCTAGAACCTTTTTGGCCTGCTGAACTGGTCTTGTGGGGGGACAGCTCTTTGATAGCTCATGATTTGCAGATGCCAAAAGCAATTTTGGTTTTCTTCAGGAAGTCAGAGGGTGTGACTAACAGGTCACGCAGATGTTTGAGGAGGAGGAGAGTTTGGTTATATTTCAGTTTGCTTGTACATCAGATTCCTTAGCAAAGCAATTGATAGCAGTAAATGGAGTTTCCATTTTTCCTTCCATTATCAATATGGGCAGAAACACACAATTTTATATCCCAGAATAACCACTCCTAAATCATTGCTGAGGAGATGAGAAGGTACAACAGAGACATACTTTCTTGACTGTCTGGATGCTGAAGTGTTAAAATATGACTTGTCTTGCAGAATGATCACAACTGTCATGTGATTTACTGATTACACACCATCAGTGAGTCTGTAAATGACATCACTCAGAGTTCTTTGTTGTTCAATTCCCCTCTTCCAATTGCAAATCAGGAGACCAAAATAATCATTGTGATTCCCTGTGCACAATTCTGTACCCACCACTGAGTGCATAAATATAGGACATCAGAGAGAAGCTGAGGCAGTGAGCAAAGCGATACTTCCGTTTACTCCACACATGCTTCCTCTTTCAGGGGTCTTGGATCAGCTCTGCTTTTCACTTAACTTTTAACTGTGGATGGTGCATGATGATGAATCTCATGCTGTGGGAAATAGAACTCTGCTGTATTTGTCAGTATCTCAGCATGAGCTCCTACTGTAACTGCATAGTTAGTTGCATACCAAATGTACTGTAGTTAGTAGCATACTAAAAATGTACTGTAACTGCCCTCCTGAGAATAGTTCAGTGTGCAAACAAAGAGAGTGCCTATTTTTAGAAGAGCAATAAATTGTGGTCCTGATCAATTTTCCTATGACAGTTGTCTCTGAACTACTTGCTGCTCTCTGCTTAATACATCACAGAACTTGTGTCTGTCTGTTACTATGCACAGCCAGTACTTGGATTTCTCTAGTGAAGGCAGACACCTTAAACAGAATGTGGAATAACATAGCTTGACAGAGGTTAGCCACATGGACGTTGGATGGGGATTAAGATCCAAATTCTTTTCCTAAGTATTGAGTGGGTGAGAGATGGAAGGTTATTCCAAGAGTAAAGTTCAGATACAGAGGAGCTTTTTTTGAGCTAGGTTTGTAATGTATTAGGGACAAACATTCTTTCCTTGAACATCAGGTAGTGCTTTCTAAGGGCATGGCTACACTTGCAGATGTAGAGCGCTGTGAGTTAAACCCACCTTCAGAGAGCGCAGTAGGGAAAGCGCTGCAGTTTGTCCACACTGACAGCTGCTTGCGCACTGGCGTGGCCACATTTGCGGCACTTGCAGCGGCATTGGGAGCGGTGCATTATGGGCAGCTATCCCAGCATGCAAGTGACTGCAACGTGCTTTTCAAATGGGGGGAGGTGGAGTGTGACAGGGAGTGTGTTGTATGTATGTGGGGGGAGAGAGCATGTCAGCATGCTATCTTGTAAATTCAGACAGCAGCAGACCCCACATTCCTCCCCACCTCTCTCTCTCAGCATTCCACACTAATGGCTTGCATGCCGGCTGTCAGAAACAGAGCTTTGAAAGGGCATTTCCGCATTCCTACAGGAGTTCAAAACAATGACAAGAGTGGCCACTTGACTTACGGGGATTATGGGACGTTTCCGGAGGCCGATCAGAGCGCACCTCATTCACACTGACGCCCATGCATTATAGCCAAGGCGCAGCAAATGTTATTCCTCTCGCCGAGGTGAAGTACCAGCAGCGCTGTAGCTGCAGAGACAGAGCGCTCTACGTGTCTTGCCAGTGTGGATGGGGAGTGAGCTAGGGCATCCGGGGCTCCTTTATTGTGCTGTAACTCGCAAGTATAGCCAAGCCCTAAGCCAGATTAATGCTTTACTGTCAGTTCACTGCCTCTAGCAAGCCACTTGGCAGAGTCATTTCCAAGAATTTGCTCCCTAGAATGGAGAGTTGAAGAGAGGAGGTGGAAGCCTTTTTGCTATGCTGTAGTCCCGTTCTATTATTTATACACCACCATCAATGTACAGCTGCTTAGAGACAAAAGACAAGATTGCTGCCCCAGGAACTTGGAGCCTAGGTTCTATATGGGGCCCATAAATGTACTCCGTGCTTTACAAAGCCAGGACAGGAGGGTCTTGACTGCATTGAGTTTTAGGCCATGAATGTAGCTGCACTGGTACAAACCCCTGTGTGCTGCACTGATGGAACCTGTGCTGTGGACTGGTGCAGCATTGCCTGCTTTCAAACTGGATTATGCTGCACTGGTGCAAGTTGCTGTTTACTCTGGTGCACTGACTGCACTAGGAGTTTGCATCAGAGCAAGACAGAGCTGATGCCAGTGGGCAAAGGAAAGTACTTTTGAAGAGCTTGCAGCCATAGTGCAGTCTCCATTGGTTGAAGATACACACCCACAATTGGTCAATTCAGTCCATAGTCTAGGAGTACTCTTGGATTCCTCACTAATGCTGAACTCTCA